AATGATCGTCCTATTAGAACTAATGTATAAGGCAACAAAAATTCTTTCTTCAAGTTCATATCCAACTGTTAGTGATATTAGATTAACTTTTATAGAAATTCTTTGACATATTAAGATATATATTGATGATCATACATTAGAAGAATCCATTATGGCAGATTCTATATGCAAAAAATTGATGATTATTAGAAGATACTTAATTTCTTTACAACTATTCCAACTATTTTTAATTCAAGTTCAAAATTACTTACTTTTTTATTTAGAGAATAACGTGATAAAGCAATAAATTAATTTTGTTCAAGAATGTTTATGTATACACTATCACAAGATTTAGATAATTCAAATTATATTGTAGAAAAAAATATAAATGCTAGATCATTTTTAAAAATTTAATTATGCAACAATAAAATGAAACACAACCATTAGAAGGAGAATTAGAAAGATATTTGGCTTTACCATTAATACAGTCTGAGTCATTATCTTGGTAGCATCAATATGCAAACAAATTTCTGATTTATCAAAAATAACACATAATTATCTTGCCATTCAAGATACTAGTATACTAAGTGAACAAGTATTTTCAGTTGCATTACTTACTATAACAAAAGTTTGAAATCGTCTTAATCCTAATACTGCTTATGCTTCTTTTGTGTTTGAAAAGCTGGATGAAACAAAATGCTAGTTCAGTTAATAATAAAATTATTTAAATTTGTTATTTCTGATTTATAGTATTTTTAATAATACTATTTTATCAATAATATAATAAACGAATTTATCAAACAGATTACATTTTTTTAAATAATTATTAAATTTATTTTAAATTTAAGCATATGTAAAGACAACAATAGCATTTATTTGCCATTTTATTTTTTAAAATAGTGGATTTTTTTAAAATACAAACTGAAATTATATTAATTAATCAATAAAAATTCAAACATGTGATTAACTGAAGAGTTACAACTGCAGTTTTAACTTCAAATAACAAACTGGAGGTCAGCTCAACTCAAAGGCTAAACTGGCAGTTTTTAAACTGAACCAAACTAAGTCAAACTGATAACATCCCTACTACTGATATAGGAGAGGATTCTACTAAAAATAAGTAAAATATGAAAAAAAATATGAGAAATTCCGTTATCGCAATTAATAGCCTTATTTTCATTAAGTATTTCTACTAATTTTATGATTTCTATTGTATATCCTAATTTAATTTTAAACAGATCATTTACATCTTTTAAGTTAAATAGAGAAAAGATTTTCTATAGGTATTTTGTTCCTAGATTTTTTAATGTCATAATCGTTAAATCCTAAGTTCTTTATATGCTTCTTAAAATATTTTTTAATATGCTTTGAAGACCACTCTTAACATCATTGGGAAATTTATTGGATTGTCCATTATTTGAAATATCTATTCATTTATATAAAACTAATTTATATGAAAACAATGTTCAAAAATTAAGTTTTCAACTTTGTTGTTAAGTAATTAGGGTTAGCATTCCAAAAATGTGAATTTTTCAATATGAACCATTTAAAAAATTTTTTTATATAATAGTAGCCTAATGCATCATACAAAAATAAATAAATATAAATTAGAAATAAACATTACGACTAATACATAAAAAATCGCATGCACGTTCTGATTACTTTTTCAGAATTAAAGCTAATCTGTATTAAAAATTAGTATTAAGCTAAAAAAAATTACTAAGAATATATTATTGATGAATGGTGAATGATAAACTAAGTTATCTAGTAAACAATTAAAATATATCAAATTCTTATGTTAAGTTATAATGCAATAAAGACTTTTTTTCTATTGATATCTCTTCAGCCAATTCAAGTACTCATTGATAAAATTATATGCCAAAATATTCTTGTACTATAACTTGAAGTTCTTAAAGATCTAAATTAAATTTAGTAGTATACCTTTGTGGAAACAAATTTTGTGAGACTTCATCAAACAATTCTGCATCAGGAATGTTCATTATGTATATTAAAAGATTAGCCGTATTGCAAGAAGAAAAGTTATTATTATTATTATTAGGATCAGTGTGTCCAACATCAATAAAGTTATCAGGAGAAACACCAATGTTAGAAACAGGACCAGTAATATAATTTATAATATTTTCATTAATATTTGCTGTTCTAAAAAAGATAACAATAGTTTGAATCAATGGGATTAGATTTGTACGAAGATACAATGTAGCAATTAGTATAATATTGCTATTGATACGAAGTTTAAAAATCTTGATGACTAATACAATCTGAATTGTGGTTCATTGACTTAAGTAAAGAGTTGCTACTTGATGAAGATTAGAAGTGCTCTGAGAATAACTAACTTCAACCATCATTGTTGGATATAGGGTTTCTGCCTCATCTGTAGCTGGTATAGCTAGTCCACCTTGTATTTACCTAAGATGATGTCTTAGTCAGATAGAAGTATTTAGCTCTCTACCAGTAGCTTGACCTAAATTTGTGGTTGTATTAGTATTATATTAAAAATCCTAATCGTTTTACCTATCTATCATTACAAGAATTCTTCTCTACTACTTTTACATATACATAAGTAGGTACTTCAAATATTTTAATATTCCCATTATGTAAATATATACGAATTGAAAATTCACATTATTATTATAATAATAAAAATATTCTTTGAGTGACATATTTTCTTTTATAGTTATCTCCTTCGATTCTATATATCCTTCTTCTTCCTCTTCATTCACTTTTTCCCCTTCTTTTCAGACTTTCTAGAATATGAGTAACTTTTTTCTTGCTAATTCAATAGCTGTAAAAGATAAGTAAAGATTTTTTTCTCTCATAGACTGTGATAATAATGAGTCAATAGTAAAGTAAAGACTCAGACTTAGAAGTAAACTGAGAGGAAGACTGAGAGACAGACTCGGTAGACTGGAAAGCAAATTGATGAGATTGAGAATATGTGACATGATAAGAATAATAATAAACCTTGAATCTGAAATTATAGCATCAGTTAATTGACTTTATTTAAATTAGAAACTGCTAAATACCTATAATATTACCTTCTGAATAAAGAGTAATTATAAAATAAACAATGATCAGCATTACTTATGTATGACGACAAATTTTTTCACCTTGATTACATATATATTATGTGAATTATTAATGATTATCTATACCAAATTTTTATTCTGAAAATTTTTTTTGCATATTGTATAATTCAAGTAAGCGAAATAGTAAAGTAAGAGTACATCAATAGGAACTATCACAAAGGTAACTATCCTACTGTAAAACAATTTTGTACTGTGACTATATTACTATCTTAAGTCCTTTCATTGTATATCTAAATATACAACCTATATGATAAGATCTTTTTCTATATTAACTTACTTTATGATTCATTTCGCATAATAGACATAAAGAAGATTTTGCCTTATATCAGTATACATCTTCAGATTTGTCATTACTATAACTAAAATATATATAAGAATAGAATTTTAAAATTTTGTTGCGAAAATATGTTCAGTCATAGATTAGATTATTAGGTTGAAGAATAGGTGATATCACTTTTATCTTAGTATTCAATATTTTCAAACTTGAAGAATTACCAGAGAAAGCTTGTATAAAGTCAGTATATTCTTTCATAAGATTATTAAGCTATGCAGTCATTTATTTTATTGTCTCTAGAAAATAAAGATATTGGTATAATAATAATAAAAAATAATTATAATAATTAATAATAAACCATTTACTGTAAATTTAATTTTTTAATGTTTAATGTTACAATAAATTTATTTAGGCTGAATTAATTTTAAATGATAACCTGAAAATTTTAATAAATTTTGTTTTGTTTTTAACTTAAATAACTTTTTAAAATACCACAACACAATAATTCTACCTATCACGATCTGTATTATTTTTTAGAATCTTCTTTTCTCTCTATTATATCATAATAAATTGCATATCAATTTTCAAGGTATTACGAAAGCATTCACTTTTTCACAGTCTCAGTAATTATCAAAAATTTCTTAGAATCAAAATCATATTCAATAGTAGATCTATAAAAATATTTCATCTTATTTAGGTTAATTCTAGAAATTTATACAAGATGTAGATAAATACACTAGTTTTAAATATGACTAATAAAATCGTTTATACTGAACTAATTCCTTTAGAATCACCTGAAGAATTAGAAATATAAGTTAAAGATTAAATTTTTGATCACATGATTTTAATCGTTAATCATTTTACTTAGTTACAGTCAAAGATATATACAGTCAAACCTTCATATAATCACATACTATATAGTCACAACTCTATATAAGAACCTGATGTTGGTAAAATGAACTTTAACTTAATTAATTTACCTCTTTATAATCACAAATTGATTATAATTACTATTACTACATGATCTGTAATATACACTTCCCTTCAAAAAATATCTGACCACCCATCAATTATTATAAATTCTAACATATTAAAATTTGAATTACACTACAACTAATGCATATAAATAAAAATTTTTTTCTTATGTAAGTGCAGTTACAAATAGTTTGAAAATAAAAAGATTTTTTTCTAAAAAATATATCTAAAAGGAGTCAACTTTTTGATTTTGAGCGAGGAGAGATTATTGGACTTTGAAAAGGAAATTATAATGAAAAAAATATTGAATCTATCCTCCAACATCCTAAATTAATCATTCATAATATAATAACCAGTTACAAAAATAAAAACTAAAATATAGCTATTTCACAATTAAGCAGGCCATTAAAATTAATAGAAAGAGATGTTAGACATTTTATAAAAATTATTAAAGAAGACCATCAACAGTCTTTAAATGAAATAATAGAAAAATTTAAAGATTTATTAATAAATCCAATATTTCATAATACTATAAGAAGTGTTTTACATTTTAAAGAGTTTTTTGGTTGAGCAGGTAAGAGAAAACTATTAGTTTCTGAAGTAAATTGTAAAAAAAGATTAGAATAGTTTTGCGAAAAAAGAAATTGGAATTCTGAATAGAATTTAATTATATGAAGTAATGAATCCTATTTTT